ACATGAACCTAGCGCGGTACACTTAGTTGATTTTACAGCCTACAAAGAGATTCAGACTTCAACCTTGCTTACCGTCATGACATCGACATTAAACTCCGTCTTTTATTCCTGAACATACAGTTTAACACGGTACGTGGCAAAGCCATTATTGCTTAATTTGATGAAGTGTACACTTCTCTTGTCTGTAGAGTTTACATTTGAAAATAAAAACCAGCCAAATGGCAAAAAGTGTTAGTGTTTTGGTCTGGCAGGTCATTTACCCACTCATGTTTACACACAGTGTGAGTAAAATGTGCATATATATTTTTTGTAAAATTCACCCGTGAATCGAATATTTGTTGTAAATTGGCCAATTTACAGGTTCATACCATCCCTTCTACAAATTGATGCAGGAGTTTGATTCAATCCAATAAAAATGCTGTTTTAGTCTAGTTTCTGTTCAGGAAAGGACACTTCTTTTAACGGGTTTAACAGCTGTTATGCACAAACTAATAACAGTCCTGTATGTGTGCGCAGGCACTTTTACACTACATGTAATTAGCTTTACCTATTAAAAATATCAGAAATCAGAAAAGCTTGGGAACTTCATGAATTTTGCATAGAAACTTTAAAGGAAGTAAGTCAAAGCATCTACCCATCTGTCCGTGAAAAGTATTCAAATTCAGTTGGGGTCTTCTTCGTTGAAGAAGAAAGTGTCCCTAGAAACCGTGTCAACAGAGAAACCACAACTGTTCCAGGAACCATGCGTATTCATTGCGTAGCATCAACTGGAGTGCCCGAGCAAATCAAATTACTCCTATCCCGCCACTGTGACAACTGCTAGAAATAACAAGGAGTCTGCAAAAACACAGAATACACTGGACCTTGGAAGATCGTGAACCTGAAACCCAAAATATTAAAGAAAGCAGTCCCGGATGAATTAAATGAAGATTCATCAGATGTCAACAATGATGTCCAAGTTTCAGAAGACGATGCCAGGTTTGCAGAAGATGATGCCGAGTTTGCAAATGATGATGCCCAGTTCGCAGATGTTGATGACCTAGATGCAGAAGGTGATGCTCTAAACAATCAAGTAGAGAGTGGCGAGTACAGAAGATAAATAAAATAAAAACGAAATATTAAGAACAAAATAGGTCTTATGTAATGAGCAAATTCTAAATGTTTAAGCCGAAAAGAAATGTTATTGTGAAATCCCAAGACTTGTCCTGATCACTAAAAGTTTGTAATATTTTGCGTGTTCAAAGGTTCACCATTAGTTAACAAGACTTTGGTTTCCTAGTCATTTGACTCCCATTCCAGGTTCTTCCTGGTTTGAAACGACTCTGCTTTCCTAATCATATGACGCCCTTGTTAGATTCATTTACGTATATCTTGACTACGTTTTCCGAGTCATTTGAATCTTGCCGAGTAAATCCAAAATCAGATTGACTCCATTGACAAAGTAGCATAGACTCCTTTATGAGTGTCACAATTTTTAATTAGAGTGAATTTGTTGACTCCTACAGAGCAGATGTGACCCCGTTTGGATACGTGTCAATTAAAGTTAAGTGTCAATTCGTTATTTTCGACATGGTTGCTGGACTCCATCAGTAACTTTGTCTCGGTTTTCGATATGTTATTTAAAGCATTATTTTTAATTTAAGACAATTGATCTAAGAAGCTGAAATTGAACCTGTGAACAATATTTCTTCACAATTGTCATTGAGCACTGTTACAGAAAGACACTAGTTCTGACAGTTATTTGCATGAGGTTCATTTAAAATTTTGGGATGCAGGCTACCTTTTTCATGGAACTGCCCAGATGGGGATGCAGATGAAGAATGGAAAAGGAAAGATGAAGAGGAGAGTGGAGAGGAGGGTGAACTTGAGTTGGAGGAAGGACAAACTAAAGAAGATGCAGAAAAGGCTGACTTTTTCCATTCAATTAAGTGCAAGGCGCTTCCAAATGCAAAGTACTTCAAAAATCTGAGACCGTGTCAGTTTACTCCAGTATAAGTATACTTTGCACAGAGTATGCGGGTATATATATGTAATTGAACTGTCACGCCTAATGCAGAAAAACGGAAAGGCCTAAAGTACAAACCCTCCTCAAAGTCTGACGGATATTGGTAGAATAGGCCATTAGGTTTGGGCATCACAAACGTCTTTGGGACATCTTGAATCGTTAAATACCTTTGGTTTTGAAGATGTAGCACCGTCAATTGCAAATGACAGTAAACCAAAAGACTCTATATTTTAACAATGCAGTTGGAATCCAGTCTAAATAGGAAACCAAATATAATTATAAAAGCATTAAAGTGGGACCTTGTTTATGCCTTTTTAAACACCTGGACATGATCTCTCAGAGAGTTCAGCTTTTAAATCCTTCTGTTCAATCGAAATGCCACCCCGCCAGCATTTCTCTTTTGAAATGATTACCTTTCTGATAAAACCATCTCAGATACAAGATTGAGTGACTAAGGATTACTTACTGTTCAAATGAAAATTGAAATTTCTTGACAAGTCCACAGAGTCAACAAAAGCTGAATTTTATCCTACAAAAAATGCTTCAAAATATATCCCTATTGTTGCATTCTAATTGTAAACTGGACCTCTTTCAGGGCGGTGCTAATGTATATCTTCTACAGACACCGAGTAGCACGTAAATGTTGCTTGTGTAGCAAGGTAGTTCTTCACCTAGCTCATCATTTGCGTCAACCCTACAAAATCAGGGATGGTCACAAGAGGTTTCTCCTACTTGCGCACAGTCACAATTTGTAATTATACCTGGACGTCGGCCTAATTTTGACCCTTACAAGGCTTTAAACAGTACATTAACACCTTTACATGCACTAAACAGTGATAGAGGAAATCTTTGTGAACTCTGGTAGCAACCATATCATGTAAAAATAAATAAATGCGCATACCTGAAGAGGCGTGGAGAGTCCCGTTTCCACACGAAGCAGGCAGGCGATGTTCTGCCCGCTGCCGCGTGGTGGCGCCGTGACTACTCCGCGGTGGGTCACGCAAGGGATGTCGCCATACCGCCCCTACATTTACATGAACATCAATCAAGCACCCAGCACGCTTGCTACAGGTGTAAAGACAAACATTCCCGGGCACCAAAAACGCCTGAATACAGGTGCCATCACAAAACAACATGGACGCCAATATTAAAACCCCCCAACAGTATTTGGAATTTAAGGCAAGTCATTGCTTCTTAGCTGTAGCTGTACAGTGCTAGTGCAAAGAGAGAAAAAACACACTAAACAAACGCTATGGTACTTGTCTGATTTTTTGCTGGCACTTCTGGGCATATTTGGATGATATATAACTCTAGGAAACAACTATTATTTTCTGTATATGGTAATTTTACCTGTTTGGATATTCTTTCCGTTAAGAATCCCCTTTTGTGGCCCCTTCGGACAAACAAACCCCTCCCCAAAAAAACAAAACATCCCCCAAATTTGAAAGGTTTTCTAGTTCTTGCATGGAGACACATGCCTATAACATTGGAAATTGGTGGTGTGAACCTCAAAGGTAATTGTTATTTGTGTGTATGGTGCACTCAAAAAGATGTTTGGACTGCAGGATGATGCAGATGTCAAGTTTGTGGATAAAACTGATTGTACTGATGTAGATGAGGACGTTTGTGAGGACGTTCTTTTGGCAGAGCCAGCTTTGCGACTAATTGTGCTGACGAGGGCGAGAAGTGGAGAAAGTACCACAAAACAATGTGATGAATCTGAGTAGTATATTGTGAGCAAAATCATACCGTGTTGAGGTGGTACCGTATTGAGGTGTGAGGTGGGANGGTGGTACCGTATTGAGGTGGAGGTGGTACTGAGGTGGTGTGAGGTGGGAGTGAATTATCATATACCTGATGTGAAACAAAAGAATTGATAAATTATACGTATAATATACGTATAAATTATGCGAATGGCGTCAAGCCGGGACGAAGTCGCGGGTTGAGTGGAGTTCCCGGAGGGACTCCACGCCGAACCACGGAGTGGTGAGGAGGGCTCACCCCACGGTAGTGTTCAACTGGCGTTAGCCAGTTGGGGAACGAGTGACGAAGTCACGAAGTGGACACGTAATTTTTCAAATCGATAAAATAAATGAATAAAATAAAATTCAAAGCAAAATACCTGTTTCGATTTTCTGTTCAAACTTCTGTCCGAATGGCTTGACTGCGTCAAGCCGGGACGAAGTCGCGGGTTGAGTGGAGTTCCCGGAGGGACTCCACGCCGAACCACGGAGTGGTGAGGAGGGCTCACCCCACGGTAGTGTTCAACTGGCGTTAGCCAGTTGGGGAACGAGTGACGAAGTCACGAAGTGGACACGTAATTTTTCAAATCGATAAAATAAATGAATAAAATAAAATTCAAAGCAAAATACCTGTTTCGATTTTCTGTTCAAACTTCTGTCCAAATGGCTTGACTGGACGACCGTATACGGATCCAT